ACACTTGCGTTGTATGACTGCAGTTCACACTGGAGATCACATACAAGTCGCATATATTTGGAAATATTAACGGCAACGTAAAAAAACGGATTTCGCTAAAAAATCAGAGTTGAGTATAAAGGCCTGCAGTGTGAATGTAGCCTTAGAGTACCCCTTGTGGTCCTTGAGGGCCCCTTGGTGCCTGCGGGTGCCGTTTTGGTGATCCCTGCTCCAATGGTTTAAAAATATATTAGGTTTGCATTGATACCAGTCATGAGCTTGTATGAAATACTAACACTGACAAACTCCTCGGCTCTGTCTCCTCCACATGCAAAGAAAGACAGCTCTATTGGTAATCAGGACCTTCAATATGTGGAACAAAGAACAGCCACCCAGCTCCCCTTATGGGGGATATGTGGCAGGTTGGATACAACCACCGTGCCTGGATGCAGCTCAGCCTGATTTGATAAGCCTCTCCCTGAAATTAGTTTTTGGAACTTGGGATGTCTGTAAAATGTGGTGGTGCGCTGTCACCAATGGTTCCATTCAAGGTGTGCAATCACTATTTTTTTGTGTGTGATGTGTGATCATATACTACTGAGAATTTAGTAATAATTATAATAATTTTGTCTTCTTTGCCGATTTATGGAACTGTTGCCGTCTCCTGAACCGTTATCACGTGTTGTACTTCATATGGGGCCCACCCAGAAAATGTTACTTACAGGCCTATTGTTGTCGTTGCACCATTGTTGCCCCCTTACCAAACTGGGGGTCCATGGATCTCCTCTTGGGTCTGTGGCCCTATTCCCCAAAGGGGGATGGTCCCCAGACCCCAAAGGATAGTGTATGCACGAGGAGTATAAGAATATGTTTAGTGTCTGCCCCTGTGTGGGTCTACTTTGAGTGCCGGTATACGTCCGTATTGGTGTAAGAGTGAGTGAATGTGACTAAATTAATGTCAATTTTCTCTGTCTACTTATCAGACTGAGGGCTAGGCCACCTGGCCCTCGGAGGTCCCCACTATGTGGTGGTGTGCCCCCGAAACTCAAATCCCCAAATCCATTCGTGTCCACCTTTGGTGTGACCGGTCGCCATCGGATCCCATAGGCTTGCTTTTGTGGCCCGATCGAGACTAGTGCTCAGTGATCCTCTGCACTACAGTCTCTGGGGTTGTTCAACTCAGGGACTGGGCCGTTTTGGGTTTGGCCCCTCGGGAGTCACTACCTGGGTGCTTGCATATGCCCTCCTCCAGTGGGTGTGGCCATCCCTAAGTCTCCCCTCCTTGTGTCGCAGTGCTCTGGGGTGCCGTTGGACATCTGGGGCTTATTTCACCTCTTCATTCATCCTCGGCTCTGTAGGGTGTCTGGAGCCACCCACACCTGCTATTAGGAATACTTTACCTCTGAAGAAGCTTCATAAATCCTTTAAACATCACCCCGCCCATGTATATATACAGTACCACAGTGGTTTTGTTTCAGGTATTCACGGTTGCACTCTAATACTTAATTCTAAGCTCCAGCTACAGTTATATTCCACCGTAAATAATATTGTGTAATCACCATTTGTTTTGCCTTCCACTCACATAGATATCTAAGGGATACTAGCTGCCCTGGAATCCATTTTTTATGTTCACTTTAGTTGTCTCATGTCTTCTTTTTGCTGTTTTTATGCTCTCTGTTTTCTGTCCCTCTTGTCCTAAAGAGGCGTAGAAGCAGATATCTAGGAGTTATTGTACATCTTCTGTGTTGTCTATTTTTGCTGTTTTTTTTCTCACTTGTCATGCGCTGTTTCCTGTCTCTAACTCTTTCTCGCTCCCTTTAGTTCTTATCCTCTTTTTCTTTTTCACATCTCTTTCTGTCTCTGTTGTACATGATTTCACTCCCTAAATAATTTTCATTAAGTTGCAAATACAAGTACCAAGCAGAACCTTATGGCAACAGTCATAATGGTCTGCTTATCAAAACAAAGCTAGCTCTTGGACATCAATTCCCAGAGCTATATTGGCAAAACAGGACACAAAAAAAGGAGTCATTTTTAATCAATGATGTAATTACTCAGCAAAATCTTGATCTGTTTATAACAGATACATTGCTAGAGGAAATTGGATACCAAACCTCCCAGTAACAATTTTCTCCATCAGTACTGGCTGTTTAAAAATGGAAGAGGTCTCATTACTCTGTTTAATGTTTCACTAAAATGTAGAAAAGTGATCTTGGTTGACTTTGAATCTTTTGACTATCGAGCCATGTTTATGAATATTTAAAGACCTCCAAAGTCAAAATAATTTTTTTAATGAATGAATGAATGAAACAATGTCATAGAACAAGTTGTTATTTGGATCCACATTGTCTTCCATGTCTTGACTTTTATAACCAATGTAGTTTAATTTTTTCAGTTCCAGGTTATAGAAAATAACAGGTGAATGGTTTCAATAAACTTTTATCTGTGATATATGCTAATTAAGACTACTTAATTATTGTGGGGGACATTACTGTTCATGTTGACAATGCTGAACAGAGGTATACAAAAGAACTGTGACACACTTAAAAATGTTGATTTGACTCAACATGTGAAACAGTCAACTCATAATCTAGGACATATTTTGGACTTGTTAATCAGTAAAGGTCTAAACATTTCTAATGTTTATGTTATTGATTTTGCTCAGATAATTTTTCTGTTAACTTTGAAACCATTTTTTCCCACTGATCTAATTATCAAAAGATGTTATAAGAAAGTGTGTTATCATGGATGATGCAATTAAAAACATTACCCAGGTTTATCCTTCTGCTTCCACTTTACCCTGTAACTTAGTAGATGAGCTGGTTGATGATTTCCATTCTGAAGTTGCAGACATCATTGATTCCAATGCTCCACTTAAATTAAAATTTGTCTCTGTGAAGATGAAATCCCCATGGGATAGTCCTCCAGCAGTGAGAAAAGAAAACAGTGAGTGCCGAAAAGGGAAGGTGGTGAAAAGATTGACTCCAGATTCTATAAGGAGGGACTTTAAATATATACTTTACAACTAAATGATGCAAGAGAATATTTATTTTCTTAGATTAATCAAACAAAATCATTAACAATGCTTGCAACTTATTTGCCACAGTCGATAGTTTAACAAACCCTCCTGTCTTGATGGCCGATGAACTCAAATCTAAAAAGTATACCAATGTCGTTGGTTGAATTTGAATACATAAACAGACAGTTTCCTGCCTACTTTTCATAAATGACAAAGTCTATTAAACATCAAGGCTATTTAAAACTGAAAGAGCAGAACATGTGGGAGAATGGTGTGGGAAGAACTATATGATTCAGTGTGTAGCCCACATGGAGAAGCTGTGCTTCGGTGCACGCCTGTTTGCACTCCTCAGTGAGCAGTTTTACTGGATTTTCCTTTAGGACAGTTTAAGAAAAAATGGCTTGCTAATAGACAGATGGGCTGTCTATCATGAACACATTTTATGGAAAACACATGAGCTGCATCTGTTAATTTTCAGGTTTATATATTTTTTTCTTACAGCGCCATCCGCATCAGTAGAAAGGGATGGCACATGCTTCTCAACTTCTGTTTCCACACGGCCCTGACCTTCGCTGTGTTTGCTGGTGGCATCAATCGAATCAAATACCCCATCATCTGTCAAGCAGTAAGTGCATTCTTTTTTTCTTTTTTTTTTTGGCACCACTTTCAAAGCTTTCCAGAAAAGAGATTGTGAATGTGTCAACAACCAGGTCAATGTGTGCAGTCCATGAACCCAAAGGAGCCTTGGTTTTATGCTGCTGTGCTTCAGCTGTGTGTATGGCCAGAACATTTTACTAGTATTGTGGTGGCATAATAGTAAATGAACAACAATAAAAAACCGTAATAATTTGTGATAATTATGCCATTTTGTGCTCTACCTGGGTTGGTGTAATCCTGTGGTTTTGTTTCTGTTTTTGTGACAGCTTCTGAAAAAAGAGAAATCACAATTGGTTAAGTTTATTTTATGGTTTTTAGCTTTTTTAGCACTTTTTCTTCTCATTTTGAATTTTTGTTTCTTGAAATATTAAATAAACCAATTAAAAAAGAATCTATAAAATAGATACTTATGGCTCTATGGCATGGTGTTACCCTTAGGCAAAATGCCACTATTATGGCCTACACACCACTCCTTTAAATGTATCCCATAAATAGTATTTTAGGGACCCCCCAGTTCTAAAGAACAAAGTTGACATAAGTATTTATAGTATGGGTTAGGGTCTATAGTTAAGCACAAGAGGAACTGCTGATCTGACGAGCTTTCCACAGAGAGCCACTGACACCATTCACAAGGAGGGTAAGCGATAAAAACTCATTACCAAAGAAGCTAAATTATTACAAAATTAATATCTGTTCATTTTCCTGAAAAACTTCATTGGAAAGGCAAAGATGAAGCACCAGTATGTAATGCCACAGCTTTGAGGGGATTGTGAGGCAACGCCTGTTCAAGAGTTTAGATGAGATTAACAAAGTGTGAACTGCACAAACTCCACAAACAACTGAACTGTCACATTCTTAGTACTAAGACAGGTTGAGCAGAGACAACTTAATTTATGCTTTCCATGGACTATGGTGTAAAAGGGATGGGCTGTTGTTCAGTAGTGTCCTTTTTTACAAATCATTTTGAGATTGAGGCCCAAGAGTCTGACAGAAGTGTATAGAAGTATGTAATCAAAGTTCCTTGGGATTAATTATTAAGTTTCTGTTGAGGGAGCTGTTGTTGGTGTGAATGGTGCAGCACCTTTACACTTCATTGATGAAGTAATTCAGGTAAAAGATTTCCAGGAGAAGTATTGATTTGGCCACCACGGATAAACAAATCTCTAATGTAAATTTACAGTTTCTAAAAATAATTATTTAATTTTTTTTTTAAATAGCTGTTGAGATTCGTTGACTTTTATAAAAAAATTAAGAAAATATCTTACAATTTATATAATTAATACTTAATTTTCCTGTTGAATTCAAAACATACAAGTGATAGAGAAGTGAATTCAGAAATAAGAAACTGCAGCGGTGGAGTATATGTGCCAAACAGAACAATGAATGGAGTAATCAACCAAATGGGAAGCAGGTGTGCAGAGAGGGGACTAGAAAGAAACGGAGGGAAAAGGAGAGTGGCATTAGGGGGCAATGAGAGCAACAAATAATCAATGTGGGGAAATAGAATAGGGGTGAGATTACACAAAATGGAAAATAAACTAATAGTGACCAAGTAAAAACTAAACTATGGGAAAAACACTGGATAAGCTAGAAAACCAATTTGCCATATGGGAACATAATCTAACGCATGGCTGCAAATAATTATTATTTTGCAAATCAAAACATTAAAGTTATAAAACAAACCACTGGTTTGTTTTTCAAGTTTGAAGACGTTTCGCTTCCCATCCAGGAAGCTTTCTCAATTAATAATTTCTGGATTAGCGTTGAGTTCAAGCTTTTATCGAGTAGCCCAACAAAAGCCTTGTAAGGACTTCGAAAACATGCAAATAGAAACTGGAAAACCAGCTCCACCCGTTAATAATGGGAGTCGTCAAGGTCGTTATTGGCCTGCAATACCCTGATGGCCCATTCCTTTGTAAAGGCAGTCAATAAGGGTCATTGTTGGCCTGGCTGACCTGGCAAGACATTTTGTTCTCCTGCATAACGATGGGGGTTGAGGGGGTATTGGGAAGGAATCAACTGTATCGCTGCGTTGTAGTTTTTTGAGAGCTGAAACCTGAGTCCACCCCCTCTGTTTAAGGTTGTTTTTTCTCTTTTAACATAAATGGCCTCCTTCAGACCTTTACACCCTCTGTTTACACAGTGTTGGGATAAAAACATTTCAATAAACCAAACATTACCCATCACATATCTGACTCAATAACCATTTAAAAACACAATTTTCATTCATTTCAGACTGAACTAATCACACACTTCTATTATGTTAAATTGCACTTAGAATATTCACCACTGTTCGGCGCAAAGTCCCTTTTTTCTCTTAGCACGGAGCAGCCAGCTTTCTTGGACTTGCTATGAAAAATGGGATGTACAAGGCTACATACTGTAGGATACACAGGACATGTCCTTCAAAATTGGCATAAAGAGGATGCATTTGTTGACCGCATAACAAGGAGTCTTGCAATCTGAACAGACTCTGTGCCACGCTATGACGCTATCGGCTTACGAATCTGGCCTTCAGAGGACGCAGCCCCTGGATTCGAAGTCAGCATCTATACTCCAGTTTACATTTAATCAATTACTAAATAAGTTGACAATTATTTCAATAATAGAATAATCACGATTAATCGGATTAATTTTTTCAGGACTAATCTAAAGATAGAGTAAATATAAAAACTTAGACCAAAACGTAAATAAATGCCAAAAAAGAAATTTATCTCCCACTAGAGTTAAACTAAAAATTAAAAAATTATATAAAATCTTGACAACACATAATAACATAGATCAAAGCAGAACAGAAAACCCAAAGTTAAAACTTAAACAGAACCAAAAACTACAAAACGGCAGATCACAACACCCTTTAATTTATTAAATATAAAAAAACAAAGCAATGAAGACAAAGTGCTTCCTCGTACTCTTACTTGTTACCAACTTGTTTTGGAGAATTCATCCACTTCCTTGCCTACATTGTACTGTCAGAGTGATCACAGTTTTGGTGCTCTTGTCTCTGCAGCCTACAAAGTTGAATGAGTGAGTTAGACGGAGCGACACAGAAAATTTAGTTGTCAGAACAGATTTGAAACAGGGCATGCTTTTGTGCCTGCTAGTGATTTACTATTTTTAGGCATTCATAAAGATGAAACGGAGGTGAAGTCTGAGGTAATTCCATTAAGTATATGAAAATGTTTCTTTACATAATAACATTAAGGAACATTAAAAATGGAAACCAGTGTTTGTTTTGACTTGCTTCAAAAATGTATTTTAATTATTTGAAATCAGTTTCTTACAAGACACAAAGAAAAACCTATGAAAGACTCTAATACCTGTTTTAACTTGTGAAGTTGGTATTGCAGTTTCTTCCTTTCTCAACTTAGCTCAGTTGGAGGGTTTAGTTTACCTTTGGACAAACAATGACATACATGCCTTTTTCTATTTTCCAGTCAGTTTTTGCTGCCTTCTGTCAGTCCCTGTTTGTTTCAGTGGGCCTTGTTCACTCTTGTTTTCTGAGCTGCAGCACATTTGGGACTCAGCTGTCTCTTTTGATTTCACCGGCACTTAAGGTGTCCCCTCAGTCCACAGAGTAAAGACTACTGTTACCTGATGAAATCTACCCAGCTTCTCCTGGGCTGTCTTAGCAGCTGTCATGTCGTCCCTCCTGGAGTAACTGTCATAGAATGGCTGAACTTTTTCATAAAATGCATCCACCCATCCGCTCACCGCCATTTCAGACCACCCTGCAAATTTAACGATATGAAAATATGTGGTTCCATTCTAAAGTGACAGGAAGTGAACACCTGGCAACTCAACCATAAGTTTTTTTGAATTGTAAGCAAACCTTTGCAGGCTTAAACGTTTCATTCAGGAATTTCTGACCAATGGCAGAGAAATTGAGTGATGCTGCTCATCTTGTAAAAATAGATTTTCTACTAGATGTATCCTGGCTTTGAAAAGAGAATTACAACAGCAGCCTTTTATTGGATAAAGGATATTTACATTGGCTGCAAAAATTGGACATATAAATTGTGAATTTATTGGGTTTTTTTTATGCAAAACTATGTACTTTTCCCCAACAATCTAAATGGTTGAGTTTCCTTTACACTGATGTTAGCAAAAAATAAAATTTAGATTATGCTAATTTCTATCTACATGGTATTCAGCTGGGGCTCAAATAGAAGCTGCTCTAATTAGTAATAATAAATGCCATTTTTGTCATTTTTGTCTGCACATAGTCAAAATTACAAAGGGATCATTTCTGTTGAATTACCAGCAAGTAATATCAACTTTTGGCAACTTAAGCCCAGAACCTTATTAAACTTTGCAAAGATTCTCAAAAGAGTAAAATGGACGGTTTTATTACTACAGCTTTCAAAAACCTACTAACTGCTCTCTTGGAGCAATAAGCTAAATATACTGAACTAAGTTTGGTGCCCCAATTTAAACTAGTTCTCATTAATGCATTGTATATTTACCTGAAATAAAGACAGAGGAGGGAAGTGATAATATCACTATTTACAAACTAATATGTGGATCTTAGGATTGCCTAGCAACTAGTGCACTGAAAAAACAATCTAGGACTAAGTACAAATTTCTTAAATTAAGTGTATTTACCCTTAATTTGAGTAGGTAAATGAGATAGTTTGCCAATGGAATGAGTATTTTTAGTGTTAAAATTAGATAATTAGATAACATGCACTTTAAATTAGACAATGCAATTGTGTTTTCTTATTTTAACTGTAAATTGTCTTGTTCCATTGGCAAAATGTTTCCGTTACCTCCTCAGGTTAAGAAAAATGCACTTATTTTAAGAAAATAAATACTTAGTTAGATTTTGATTTTTTTCCAGTGTGTATTCTTAAATGCTTTTGCTTAAACAAACTATATTTGATAATCTGTTTTTGTTATGATTCTCTCTCTTTGGACTTCTTTCCGTGTTTCTTTTTGAGTTTCCAATTATTTATGTCATTCTGTTTT